GAGAGACTTTACGTAACGCCAGCCGAGGTCGGCCAGCCAATGCGTGCTCGTGCTCTAGGGCAGATTATCGAGAGCACGTCGAATGAGATTGAGCAAGGAGCAATTGTGCGTGCGACCATTAATTGGCAAGAATACGCCGTGCTGGACGCCAATTCCGTCTATGTCACCGCCGCGCTTCCTCACAATCTAAGTTTGACACATTACCTTGGCGCCTTAGGAAGCACTGGACTCACAGCTTACTATGGTCTACTTGATGTCGGCGAAGCGCGGAAGGGTGACAAAGTAGTTGTCTCTGGAGCGGCCGGAGCCACTGGGAGCATGGTAGTACAAATTGCCAAGAAGATCGTGGGTGCCGAGTCTGTCATCGGCATTGCTGGCACCGATGAAAAGTGCCGTTGGGTTGAGGAGTTGGGGGCTGATAAGTGCAAGTCGAGCCTGAGTTCCCACAACATATCCTCAAGAATCGAGATAGCTAATCGTTGAGAATTCCAGGCCTCAATTACAAATCACCTACGTTCAAGCAGGATCTCCATGAGGCGACCAGCGCCGGTGTTGATCTCTACTTCGACAACGTAGGGGGGGAGATTCTCGACCTCATGCTTACACGTATGTCCCGCCACGGGCGCATCACTGCATGCGGAGCTATATCTGGGTATAACTCAGATAATCCATGCGTCCTCCATAACTACTTTCACGTTATTTCTATGAGGGTGCGAATTCAGGGCATGATCATTCATGATTTTCCTCCTGACAAAGCCTCGGAGGCACAGGACTTGCTCCTCCGTGCTATTGCGGATGGTCAACTAAGTTTGTCGGATGATAACGAAACTGTTGTTCCAACTGCCTTCGAAAAGGTTCCAGAGACCTGGCTCAAATTGTTTCAAGGGTCTAATACCGGCAAGCTAGTCACACAATTGATGTGGCCAGAATAGCGGGTTATGTTTCTACGCCTGGAGCTTCAGCGCGCTATATCTGAAGATAGATTAGTGAAGTAGTGCCGTACATGATGAAACATCAATGTATGTAATCGTTGTGCCTAAGGAATCATTGTGATTATTTATTCACTATCTTCCTAATAGAGAGTGGCCTTGACTCAATGGTTTAAGGAGTGACTTATCATGCCTCAAGTGTTAACAGTTGGTTAAATGTAAATAAAATAAATGAGATAATAACCTTCATCCCTTTCTAATCTGGTCCTCCCCTTAGAAATTATCACCCTTCTACCGGATGTTGCCACTGCTGCCATCCAACCCAAGCCTGAAAGATCGAAACGGCCAACGCCAGTGCGCCCAGTAAAATAGCTATAGCCACGCCTCCAAGCGTCGCCATCATGACGTACCGTGCACCGCTCTTCCTTTCCAGCCACTTCTCAAGGTACCCTCTTGGTGTTGGATTGTCAAGTTCTTCATAGAGATCTACCAGCCTTGACTCAAGGTAGCGATATCTAGTCGTGTTTTCACCTTGAAGCTGATAAGTTGAAGGCTCGAACTTGAGGCAGTCTGGATCCAGCTTATGCTTCGTCACAAGCGAACGGAGAAGAATAGTCGCGTCGGTTGTCGAGGGGAAAAGGGTTCTTTGAATCGAATCTAGAACTTCAGTAGCGATTTGTCTAGGCATATAACCACTTTATAGGTGTGAGTGGTCAGCGAACCCTAGAATCCTTGAGGTTGACTCTGACCTGAGATTCTCTTGGCTCGCGAGGAGAGTCTCCTTTAGGAAAGATGTGTGGTGATATAACTCTACCGTGCCATCCTTCTGGTTCAGCTTGAGATGGTTGCTTAATTCATTCGTTGGAACAAATCGAAGCCTGGCCACTTTCAATAGTCTTCGCGCAGTGACTCGTTCATTGAGCTGTCGGGAAGTTGCAGCTCCTTCGGCGTGTACCCAGTCGCCAGCGTATTCTGTGGTTGGGAATGCACTGGAAATGAACTGAGTCCACGACATGTCATGCTTCCAAGGTACTGGTTCCAGTCCAGCCTCGAGTGTGTCTACTGATCTCGATTCTAGGGAGCATGTTATCATGGTCATAACTCTCAGGGCTAGATCAAATGCTCTATTCTGGTCGCCAATCGTGGGCGATTGATCGGCGTCGTAATTTGCAAAGTACGTGGTCCTAAGTTCTGACCTCTCTTTGTCAGGGTTCTGCTTTAATAGACGAATGATAGCAAAAAGCTGCGAATGATTTTGAAGCGCTGGAAGAGTCCCCGCAACAATATCTGGTACGTAGTCGGCGGTTATTTTGCTGTAATAATCGAAGAATGATCTCAACTTATTCCAGCGCATGCCGGGGCATGGTTGTGGCGAACATGTCTGTTGTCCTGGCTCAATCTTACACGACTCGCATAGGTCCCAGTTCCATAAGGCTTTCACGAGGTCTTGCAGATCTTGCTCGACCACGTTTCTTAAAGGATAAGGTGAAGGTAAATCGAACATTGGTCTCGCTTGAAAGTATGGTGTTCTAAAACATGGCTTTGATGACGAAGTGAGAGCCCGATTAAGGTTGGAATTTGAGACCATAGAATGACTGCGGGGTTTCATTTGTCCCGAGTCCAGCTGAAATATTGTCAGCTTCTGAGGCCTCCTTATTGGCCACCAACAACCAATAAATATGCCTTGCCACGCGTCCCGGCGGTTATGCTGAACACATCTTACCTTTTTTCTCTCCTCCAATTGCTGAATTGACCTGGGCTTCCTCGAGACAAAAACGAGCAACTAAATCAACCTTGAGATGGAAGATTCGCGACCAAAGTATCCGTTGGAGGGGGGTGTGGCTGACTCGAATAGAACCTACCCCGACGTTGATTCTGGATACGGAGATTCTAGGAACCAGAGCCTGAAAACGAACGATGAGAGTTTAAATCAACTTTCTGATCACGATGAAGCGCCCGCTGTATCTCAAGTCTGCCCACAATCTCTTCCACTTTCTGCCTCTGGCTTAAATCAGCTGCAACGAACCTCAATACGACCGATCTTAAAGCCCATTGACGAGCAGATTGCGAAGAGGGCCAACGACGTTATCGAGCAGATAAGTGGGCTTTTGCAAGAGTATATGGCAAGATCTAGGCGGCGCAAATATTTATCGAGGTCAAAACAGGCACTTCCTTCAATGTCAATACGAGCCATCATGCTCGGCACAACAACGGAAGATGCCAAAGTCTGTTTGGTCATATTTTGCACCGACAAAGATGGGACACATGACAGAATCAGAAGATTTTTACGTAAATCTTTTGTGAGAGAGCTATATCAGCCTATCGACAGTACGATACCATCATTTGACATGCATGTCTTTGGTCCGTCGCCAGATACGCGAGCTGGCGTCGAAATTGGTATCCAGGCTGAAGGCCGTTTCTCGGATCCGTCAACCAGGACATTCTGCGGGATGCCTGTCTGGCTGATTCATGATGATAATGCGGATCAGTCAGCCTCGCTCACAATGGGAGGCATCTTAGAAATAGGAACACCACTTGGGAAACCTGGAACGAAGCGATATTATGGCTTGACAGCTGCCCACGGCGCCATAAACCCGGCAGATGTTGATGACGCTCATGCGTCATGGTGGGACAGTACCAGCGAGTCTGATAGCTTATCGTCAGGCTCGACTATGAGCGATGATTCTCATCACATTTCGCCGGTCGAGATCGACTGGGGAACTTCGATCGGGGCTATTGAAAACGAGCCGAGATTAGATCTTGCCGACAGTTTAGTTCCTCCAGGCACTTTGACACGACCAGTAGCATACTCGGCAATGAGAAATGGCGCATCCTTTCGCGACTGGGTGTTATTCGATTTTCCTATTGAAGCACTTCGACCGAAACCAAACATGCTTCAAGTTAAAGGACAGGTGCCAGTGCATCTAAAAGCTCCGCAATCTTTTGCCAACATCAACAGTAGCCGATCGGTTTTCATCATCAGATCGTCTGGGGTCAAACAGGCAACCCTGTCGCCTTGTCTCGGTCGTATCCTACTCAAACCCGGCGCGGAGTTTGTGCGGGCATATAGCGTTGAGCTCTCCAATAATTCAGGTATGTAAAGCCAGTCCGGAAGCCGACCTAAGCCAAGAGCTGACCACCACAATGTAGATATTGAACAAGGAGACTCAGGGTCTTGGGTGGTCGATGCACTAACATTCGAAGTATACGGTCATCTCGTCGCTACAGATGTATTACTGGGTAGTTACGTTATTCCAATGGTCGACATACTTGCCGACGTGAAAGCTGTAACCAGCCATGCTTCTATTGATTTTCCCTCCCCTCAACCATCACCACTTCTGAAAGCCGAGAAAGTCATTTCGCCAGCTAACCCCACTTCTCCCTGTCGTTGGGATGACTTCGATAGTGGCTTCGTTGATGGCTTCGACTCTCTTAATAACCCCCCCTTTGGTCGCTTCGGCGATGATAACATTGATGAAGGCTTCGGAGGTGAGAGTTCGCTTGCTATCTCACAAACTTTGTCTCCAAGTTCATTATTGCCCAACGGCACTAATGATCAGGCGGCGTCGTCCGGCATTAGTGCTTCAACAGCACCGTGCAGTAATGACACCGGCACTTCAACTAGCGGAAGTTTAAAACGTCTATTGAAAAAGAGCCTCAGTGGCTTGATCCTAGATCGGGGAGGAGATAAGTCACTTGAAAAAGGTTAACATAATTATGTTCACGGAAGTACTCTTATTACAAAAAGGACGCGATGTGATAGAAGGTTGTTCTTTTCTATTATTTAATATTCAATACAATACATTAGCAAAATATAAAGCCAGAGGGAGTTATAAGCTATACAAAACGCATCACACATAAAAACCAGTGTGCATCTAGTTGTTTAAGTAAGCAAAGCAATAAAGAAATCACTAAGACAAACTCATATTAATAATATTTCTTTCTTTCGCATTAATCTTCCACCATCCCAAGAGAGGAGCCACAGTCAGCCAACCATACTCTATAGTACTAACTGGGAACAAAACTCAAGAAGACATAGACTAACCAAGCCGTCAAAACGGCAAAAGTTAATGTCGGTGGAGAGGCTCGAACTCTCGACCTTTGGATATCCCTGATCTTTGACCAAGTCATGCTATGAGACCAACGCTCTAACCAACTGAGCCACACCGACAAATTGCGAATAGTGGGTGCTAACCCGATTCGATGATAGAGTAGGAATTATTGAGACAGATATTGCACAGCCACCTGGAACGCTGTGTTCAGGACCTAATTCATACTTATTTCCACGGCAAATTTAGTTATTTATTTGCATTACGAGTTATTAATTTTATCATGTTGTAACTGGTTCGTTGAATCGGGTTTTTTAACTAGTGATACGCTGTACCACTGAGCCAATGGGGCTTGGTATTAGCGGTCTAGTATAGAAACCAAGAGGGCTGGGTGCAATGTCAGGGGAGCCAAGACTACAGTTCCAGAAGATGGACGTGAGTTTACGGTCGGAGTGGAAGAGGCCATGTTTGTACCGTACAATTGTCTGACCAGTTTGCCACTACGTGTCCTTAATGAGTCCTCAAGCTTACATAGCATATCTTACATCACGTGCACGAGCCCATTAATTTGTGAATCATGCTCGATTCTCGTTCAAGTCAATTGGTACTCTGCTCAAATAACAATCATGGCACGCGTGGACGCTATACCGGTACCATTGCACGAGGTTCTCTGCCACTTGTACCGAGATTATCGGCAAACCCAGAACATTGACGACAAGGCTCGTTTTTTCTCGCAAGAATGCCGTCAAATATGTCGCACAGACCCAAGCTACGCAGCTCAGGATCGTGATGCCATTATTCGCTATCTACACGAGTCCGGCGAGCTTGTCAGTCGCATCCTTCAAGAAGCACCCTGGAAGGATGATGAACCAAGCACTGATACATCAACTCCGAGAAGCTTTTACACTATCCGGCCCCTCACAGAGAGCGAAGCAGGAGAATTTGGAACAATGAGGGAGTTAGAACCAGCTGGATACGCGTCTGTGGAAGAACTGAAGACCAAGGCGGAAGTTGAGAAATGGGCAGGACTTAGGGTTAACATGTGGACGGATGATGGCCGTGGCAGAGGGTTATTGGTCAAGGTCAAGTATTGGTGGCGGTTAGAAATGTCGGTGCCGGGCTCCAGTGGTGCATGGAGGCAGATTTTACATGATATCTTGTACCTGGGGCCCACAGATGGAACTGAAGAGGATGGTGGTGGTCAGCGATTTGAGGATTAGAACCTTGATCCATTTGGCAGCGTATGAGGCATGTCTGAATTACTGAGAATTATAGATCGTTGCACGTCTAATCTTAGTCATGAACGACTCCCCAATGTGCTCAAACAGGTTGCAAGCACTCCTCATATTCTCTCAATTTTACACTGCTTTGGACTTCTACAATGCTACTACATAGCTTGCTCCGAGTATTCAACGTAAGGCACTAAAGTAGAGACTGTTTATTATACTATTACCAGTGTGGAATACAGCATGTAAAGAAAGAACACTACCATACAGCGAAAACATATTAGACTAGTGGCTCGAAAACTGAACTACTCTATCGAAGCCAGTTATCGGTACTGCTTTGCCTGATCCTCTAGCCACGCAGTCCACTTCTGCGCTATTCCTGTGCCACCTTCACTTATAGGATGAGCGCCAAGTTCGAGGTCTTCACGAGGAATACCAAATCTTCCCCAAGGCACGACTGGAACATGTTATTAGTATGATGAATAAAATGAACTATCCACTGGACTTACTCCATGCTCCAGTCTTCTCCATTGTCACGTCGGGAGAAAGTCCTGCGAAAAGCTCTGTGTAAGCTCCGTAGATGGGTGGATACGACAGAGAGCCCTTGATGCGCCGTTGAAAGTTGGAGTAGTATCGTTGTAGGTCGGTTCTGTTATTTCCGGGATTGACAGCCTATAGTCACCATAAGTGAAACGCCCTGCGCTGGGTAGCAACAGTTGATTGTAGAATACTGACCACGCTGATGATTCCGTCCTTCTCATGCTTGAGTGCATAGTCGGCGGCTTCATAGTATGCACCAGCCTTGCTGACTTGGTACTTGTAGAATTTGCTCTCATCCTTCTTTTTATAATCAAGATTTTCAAAGTCCATCCCATCTTTTGGCGCAGCATAGGTCCAAATACTGCCTAACAAAATAACACGAACGCTGTCTTTAGGTGCTATCTTAGCTGTCTCAACAAGCAAAGGTGTGATGAGCTCGGTGAACAGATAGTGGCCCAAGTTATTCGTGCCCAGAGTCAGCTCATAGCCCTGCTTGGTAACAGATCCGGGTGGCGGGTGCATAACACCGGCATTATTAAACAAGACGTCAATTCGAGTTTCTTGTGAGAGCAACTTCCGAGCAGCTTTTGGGATCTGAGAAAGGTCGTCTAGCTCGAGATGGAGGAAAGGAAGGCTGCCGTTGGATGCTGGGTGCTGCTGACGAATGGATTCGATAGCCGCTAACGCCTTGGACTCGTTGCGTGCGGCAATGTAGACCTTGGCGTTCTTGGAGTACAGCATGGTTGCGAGTTCTTTGCCGATGCCCGTGTTGGAACCTGTAATAACGTAGACCTTGACTCTAACGTCAGTTGCACATATGGGATAAAAGTGGTAAACATTCCAAACCTTATCAGAAAGATCACTCAGATCCTTTTCAGTGAAAGTTGGTGCTGGCGGTCGAGCTTCGTCGTAGTGGTTCAATACTAGAAGAGCGTAATCCATTGTAAAGAATAGCCTTATAACCAGTGGTTTTTTTTTTTAAAAAAAAAAATTGGATATGCCCATAAGAGGTTGACAGGTAACTGCTATGAATTATGATATTACTTGCCACTGTGAACCAATATTTCGATTCTACGTCGACTTTTATAGTGTATTTTTCGGATCAGCCGGACTCGCTGGCTTCCTTGGTACTTTGTAGCCTTGGCAGTGTGGAGGTCTTGGAGAAGTACATGACATGCTTATGGATGACAACCAACCAGGTCCCTTTGAATCCGAGGCGGCAAATAAGAAGCAGGGATTAGACAGTGCATAGTAGCCCAACCAGCATTCGGTTCCAACATTCAGTTATAGGAACCGTGCTATGCTATCCACCTGGGTTATCTGACGCTGATGCACCGCCCGGTATCACTACTAAAAAATGGAGACCCCAAAGGTATGCTGTTGGTGACCTACTTAGGCTGGGCACAGTTAGAGTGCGCAATAAAGTACAGGCAGAAGTAATAACCTCACCTCCGAGAGAACGGCTTGGTTCAAGGCATCAGAGTGCCCTATAGTCTAGATGGGCATTGCTTGTCATGTTTTATACTTTGCCCTGCTAGGAGATAATGCCGAGTCGAGGGTGAGCCTGGGATTAGGTGTTTGGAAGACGAGTTCATAGGAAACAAGGGATACCCGACTTCCGCAGAAATTAAGAAATTGTGAGAATGAAGCCCACCAGAATGTACTCTAGATCATAACGCGATGTAAATAGTGACGGTACATGGCTTCCTAGTGTTTCCCAATCAACCTTATCCAATCCACGCATCGCAAACACATATTCCCAGTATTCAGGGTACCAGCCAGCCCACTCCCAGTCCAGCAGGGCAACTATACGCCCGTCACGCACTATGATATTCCTGGACGAGATGTCACTATGCGTAAAAACAATAGGATACTCACCACCAAGCTAGGTCGTGATCTGGTGCCAATACATGGGTTGTTCTTCAATTCGCTTCGGTGGCCGAACAAGCCAATCATGAAATTCCGTCGTTGTTGAAAAAGGACCACCCGACCGGGATATCATGCTGGGAACAACGACACCTTGTCCATCAAAACGACCAAGGTATAGACCTCTCAAGGAATGCATCTGAGCTATGTAGTCTTTGAGCTGAGCCAGGATTTCAGAGCGTTGGTGGGTTTCCAAGAATGGCCAAGCTTCTTTCAATGTCTGGCCTTCGATGTGTTCCATGGTGATGCGATCCTAATCGCTGCTGATAACCTTGGGTACGGGAATAGTCGTGTGCTCCTTGACGAACTGGAGCACCAGCGCTTCGCTTGGTTGATTGTTGGCACCCATGCCATCGGGGTGTGTAGTGTATTTTGTTACTGTATTTCCATGTTGCACCACGAATCGATCATTGCAGCGATAGATGATTTCTCCCTCAGGGTAGGGAGCGGCTTTTCTTGGAGGTGGGGGAGAGTCGCCAAACAAGGCCTTTCGCTGGTCGCGCAGCTTCATGTCCCGTAAACGACTCGACATTACTTTCCCGGGGGGAGAAATATTATTTGACAGAGGGGGGAATTGATGGTTTGCGTTGTAGCTGAATGCTGAATGCCAGATCATGATGAGGAGAGAGGGAGACTCTCACCTATCTACATAACGTGATAGGTGGAGATCTTCAAGTAACCAAGTTTATAAATCTAAACCTTGTAATTGAATTACCCAGCTTAAGTTACCTTACCTATCACGCGATCAACAGACCTGTTATCCAAGCTTGTATGCTAATTAGAATAGATTAACTATTATAAAGCTTAAGTGTGTAGACTAGGTTAAGAAGCTGACCTCGGACAGCAGTGCTGACGCAAAGAATTCTTTCACGCGACTTAAGGAGTCTGTATAATGGCATGATGGGATGCAGATCATTGCTTACTGCCGGAATAGTATAATATTTTTTCTGGACATAAGAATATTGTAGTGCGGGTGCTCTAGTTGCTAGTAGGTGATGGATTTCACCAATTTAATTCAGGTCCGTCCTAAGTTATATTAAAACTCAAAGGCTAGATGAATCAGTGAAGAGAATATAATCCAAGACTTATACCCCCTATTCATAGGCAAAGAATCCTGAGTAGTGACCAACTTGATTTCGAGAGAATCTAGAAATGTTGATAATCTCGACTCCTCTTTTCTCGGGTGCCACCCAAACACTGGAAATAGGACCTGTTATAAGTACAGTGGGCTTCCTTCGAGTCTGCCCTTCGATACCACCTATGGTGGTACGATTCCATTAGCTTGATCTGCCTCTTAATGATGTCTACATTATCAAGTTGTGCTGTGTGTTTAGTAACAGCCTTGCCGCCTCTCGATGACTTGTCTTGGAGAAAGGAAATACTTCAAGTGATTGGTTTGTTCAAGTTATAATAGTATTATGGGATCTAAA